AGTACAAACGAATCTAATATCATCAGCCATGACCGCTGCAGGAGTTGTCAGCAGCACAGCATTACGCATTGTCCATCGTACATGGATTGACTATTGGGAACGTTCACCGCACTACCCAGCCACCCCACACACTTCAAGCTGGCACATAGATCCCCGATCCGTCAGAGTCGGAGGGATGATGATGATATGGTCCAATCAACTCAAAGTATTATGTGTTGATGCATTAATGCAGCTAGTTTGTGTTACTCGATTCCACGAGGTCGATGCGTGCGGAGTCTGGGATTCAAGGTAAAATAACGAATTAATTGATGATAGTTTGATTATTACGGGACGTTTTTGCAATGTATTTGATTATTACGTGCTGAGAGTTTGGCTTGTCGGGGATTCGCATGTCAATTGTTTCAGTTAAATAGTGCATCGTTTGTCCAGATCCGACACCATTATTAGTTGTTGATCAAGATCTTACTTGTCCATCTACCTATTGATCCAAAACTCGCTTGTCCATCCACTTATTGATCCAAATCTCAGATCTGATTGTTTCCCTTGTGTATTTTGTTAAACAGTCATACACACTACTTGTTTGAACGTATTAGTTTGCAGCAACTATTGCAACTATTACAACTGCTACCCATATTATTGTTATCAAGTTTCGAGATCAACTCGTTTTACATTTCCATTTCCATCTTCATTTCCTGACACCCTACAACACCAATAATGAATTCACTGTGGTCCCGTCTCAACATCTTATCGGCTGATTATCCAAAACAGTCTTGCCGTAGTGTGCAAAACACTATTCCCCAACCAACCAATACTTGTGAAAATGCACCACACCTTGCCGAAGCAAGCATGAATCCAGAAAGGTATGCAGTACAGTATTTGTATTATAGTTGTGCATCTGAATATTGTATTTTGGTTACACAGCACATTGCTAACATGACTGTTTACTTGCATGTGTATTATTTACGATTTGATGATTGCATTTACGGTATTTTGGGATGGACTCGAAACGTTGCCGAATTTAATTTTGTTGATTCGACTACGCGACTTTGATGGTAATGATTTTGACTGTTTTTGATGCTATCTAATGTCATTGAACGTCATTCAATGTGTATCAATTGTGATTTGTGTTGGCTGGTATGATGTGCTGGTTGATTATTATTTGGGATTGAATTGGTTGATGCCTAATTTGATTTATGGGACAATGGGTTGAATGCTACTTTAAACTTTTACTGTTGTTTGTGAATAATTTTGTAATGTTGTGATTGACTAGTTCAAATCAGGAAAACATATATACTGATATGTATACATCCAGCCCAATCAGTCCAATCAGTGCAATCAATGATCCAAGAATCCCTACTTCACCAAGT